GAGACGAGACGAGACGAGACGAGACGAGACGAGACGAGACGAGACGAGACGAGACGAGAGAGAAGAGAAGAGAGTGAGAGAGAGAAACAGGGAGGGGAAGGGAGGGAAAGAGAGACACAAAGAGGGAGAGATAGAGGGAAAGAAAGGGAGGGAGGGATGGAGACAGAAAAAGAGGGAGGGAGGGAGGGAGAAAGAAGGAGAAGTGCAGGGAGAGGGAGGGAAAGGGAGAGAGGAGCAAGAGTGCCTCTTGCACTTAATATGCACGTGTGGAAGATGGTACAGTGAATTACTGTCTTATGCCGTAGCCATTATGGTCTTATGCGACAATCGAGGAGAAAACGCTGCATTTGCATATTTTCTCCTTTCAGTGTGGAGATAGGGCTCTAAGAATGACAGGAAAGAAGTGGCTGAATTCACTGTGATATAAAAATAAAATATCCTGTTAAAAATGCTTAAAATGGACTGAGGAGACACCTCAGTGGCTTAAGCGCCTGCCCCGCAAGCACAAGTCATGAGTTCAGTCTCCAGTACAAATAATAAAAATAATAATAATTAATTAAATTTTAAAAACTTAAAATGGCAGAAATGCCTCTTGTCATTTTGTCCTTGGGAATTCGGTTGTAATTCATTAAAAAAAAATTCTATCATTGATCAGTGTGTGACAAGCTTTAAACTTTTTCCTTTAAAATAATTCATATGTTTGTTTGTTTGGTGGAACTGGGATTGAACACAGGCCCTTGCACTTGTCAGACAAGCACTTATTCTACTGAGCCATCTCCCCAGCCCTCCTTTAAAATAATTCTCTGAATATTATGATGAAGGTCCTCCCCAAGAAAGGACTCATGCTTTTATCCTTACTTACACTGGTATCTTGTCTCCTTAAAAGGCAAAATCTTCAGCCAAAGACAATGGTAAAAAACAAGAAGACCATGTTCACTCTGACAAGCAAAGAGCAAATGTTCCAATGAGCTATGATAACTAACTATAATTTAGCTGTTTTAAATACACCACAGTTAAGTACCAATCAATGCAAAGTATGGTATATATTTTATTTTGAACACTTGTGAAGGGAACACTATATTTACTAAGTTCTGTAGTTTGAAAGAAAGAATATTCTTGTTAACTTCTGTCATTTACTGTTTCAAATAAACAAACGCTAGTTAATTTACCTGTAAAAAAAAACAAGGAAAATTACTATAATTATTAAGGAGACTGAACGTTTTATATTTATTAGGTAAAAGCAAAATTATCATGCTGTGGGACTTTGGACAAAACTAGATAAATGAGAGATTCACTACTTGTTACCACCCACCAGTGGTCCAAGACTGACCCTTCTTATTGCATTTATTAAATCACTCACTAACAGTGGCATTTAGAGGGGTCACATGGGATTGCTGTTCTAACAGCTTACATCCATCAAAACAAAATCAGCACACTACATTACTAAGAGTCTGTCGGCACCCAGGTACCACTGCTAAGATTCCAGAACTTCTGCGTTCCCAAGGATGACAATAATAAATAACAGAGCAAACCAGAATCTCTAAGTCAAATGGCAGGCTTCCTATGGGGCCTTCGGTGGCTGTCTTTCTCAGAGACAAATTAAGACATAAATGGATTAATCTGTCACTCATTTGTATGTTAGTATCTGTGAGACCATGTACACTGGATAAGTTACTCCAAAGGAGTAATCTTTCTTTTCTTTCATAAAATTAAATAGAAAGGCTGCATTAATTGTAAAGTTTGGAGGCATAAAAGCCTCATCCTTGTCCTATGCTCTGTCTCATTTCTGCACTTATTCTATCGAATACTTCTTTGTGTAAATGTACTTCCTCAGTGGAAAGCTCGCCTCAACATTTCAGGTACAGGCAATTGTCCAAGAGTGCCAAGAGCCTCCATGGTCAATGTCCTGGAATGAAGAGTCTCAAAATTAGCAGACTCATGTTTTGAGAAGCAAACACACAGGGACCTCTCCTATGCTTCATTTACTGATGCATTCTTTATTTAGGCTAGCTTAATTACCCTGAGGGAGCTCATGTCCACCCCTGAAACCATAAAGAACAAAATGCAGTAGACACACTTTGCATGATGGGAATACAGGAACCTCGCTGCTGCGGACCTCAGAGCTGCAGATGAGTTTAATCAGAGTCCCTAGTTCACGAATCCTGTGCTATCATCATTGGTCCAGACCAGTCATTTTTTTCCCATTTACTAATAATCACAATCACAGCCCCCCAGGTCCCAAAGCTTTGAATTCCAGCCCTGGTCCATCAAGCTGTACAGTAGTATGCAGAGGGGTCTGTATAGGTTGCTCAGTGTCCCAGCTTTCTGTCAGTTCTACATTCACCATTGGATTGTGTGACCTTCGTCTACTTCATTCATTCATAAGCCAAAGAGCTTCCAAAGAAAAAGAATGAAGCTACCACTTCTGCTACCCCAAAACACACACAGAACCATCCATATTTCTGACTACCCCAAAACCTATCAGCCAGGATTTCTGATCATATAGGAGCATTGAAATCAGATGTCCTAATAGTAATGTCATAACCTTTATTGTCTTCCCAAATAACTTCAGTTGTCTTTATTTAGATTCAGTGTAACTTCTGACTTATACCATATTCCCTTGGCGGGTCCAGATCTGGAGTGTTGTATTTTTTTTACACCCATAGTCACCACTGTCCAACCCTGCAACTACCATGACAGATACACCATCCGACTGGAGATCAGGCGCGCAGACTTGCCTTCAGCGGCCAGGCTGCCCATCCTGGAGTCTCTAATAGAAGATTGAGCAGCCTTCCTGTGTCCTACCTGGGGAAGGAAATACGGAGATTGACTTAGATTTTGTAATGAGTTAGCCAAGCAAAACAAGAGAGCAATAAACTACAAAAACTGCAAGTCGTATTCATCCAGTACTGAACATTTAGCTTTAAAAAAATATGCTAAGCAGTTCTGAGGAGGCCGTCATCTGGTCGAAGGAGAAGACTTCTAGCAACGACAAATGCAAGCCAAGATGAGCGTCTCTGAAGAAGACGCTTCTTGGCTGATGCACATTTTCCCTTTTTAATTAAAAAAATGAACAGCAAATGATAAAACATTGTCTCAACTGCAGACACCAAAATGCTCCAGGAGGATGGAGACCCCATCTGTTCATTTTACTTCTAGTTGATAATTGCACTTGTTTTATGGCAAGTAGTAATATTGATCATTCTTGTTTTATTGTATTTCACTAATTATTCCCTCAATAAGCCTGCTGATCTTTTGTATACGTACTTATATAATTATTTATGTATTAATTCATTTGAAATGATATATTGCCTCTCTTCAAGGCTAAAATCCCAGGGGCGACGCACTGAACTTCGCGGGCACCGGTCTGAGGTAATGCGTGCACAGTTACTCTCTGGCTGTCATGCTGCACCGGAGCTCTGAGTTACACAGAGGACTTAATCAAATGTGTTGACTCAGACACCTTCACCAATACATGTCATTGATCTGGGCTTGGCCTTCCATATCTCTGCTTACTTAAACCTTCCTACATTGATTCCCCGTTCGTGGATTCACAATAGTAATTGCATCATCAATACCCCGTAAGGACAGACAACTGAGAACGAGAGGCTTTAAAAGAACTAAACGCCGTCCACCGCTTTCCTTCCTGCAGGGCACGCGGCCGCCGTCCCGCATCCCACGAAACCTCGGCCTGGCAGCGGTTGGTTCGCCAGCGCGCCCGCCTCGGTCATCGCACCTCTTCGCCCTGACATCTGCTGCGCTGCGGGCTCTCTCGGGGAGGGAGGTGTGAGCGCGATGCTGGTTAATGAGCGGCCCGATTAAGGAACGCGGCCAAAGCAGTAAACGGGAAGATAAATATGCAAAATGCCCTCCATAGCTTTCCTAACATCCTCATTAGGGTCGAGATGAATTAATCATAACTGCTATTCGTTGCCATAACAAGCCCAAGACTGGCAGTCCTGCATTTCAGCTATTATTTAACAATTTATTTTAGTGAAATAGTTTAGAGGGCACCCATGAAGAAGTGCCACGCAAGCCCCGAATGTCGACCTGGGGCTATTTACTTACTCCGGCCCTGACAGCGAGGGGCCTCACGATTAGAAAATGACAAAATCTGCTATGTGTTCTGCCGAGGAACAAAAGTCTATTTTAAAAACACGTCCTCGTTTTTTAAAGAGCCAAATCATTCCAACTTGAAAAACTCCATTTGCGTCTTTCAAAAACTCAGGAGAGCTTACAAATTTTCTTAGAATACCTGTCATAGAAAAACCATGGATCAGCATCCTCATTCTATAAAATTTATCCCTAATTGGCCCACCGTTTGCTGACTTTTAAAAGATAAATGAAGACATAAAGTTACTTCTTTCTTAAATACAAAGTTATCATCAGTGGCTGTCATGTTACAGCAGCAGCCACAAAACCCTGGCAGGGGCCACAGGTGTCCTCAGCCGTTGCCCTGGGAGTCACGGGCTCTCTTCAGTCTCCCAGCGCTGGGGAGACTGAGGCAGGAGGAGCACTGAGTCTAAGCTGCCTAGTGAGACCCTGTACCAAATGAATAAAAATATTCAAAAATTTAAAAAATTATAACAATGAGAACAAATTTAAATATCTGATAACAAGAATGATAAATGAGGTAGGAGACATCAGATAGCTGGATCTTATCACCCAAACTTTGTGCATATCACAACACTGTGTTTTGTCATTTAAAAATACTGTCCAAAAGTAAACATCCAAAGAAAATCAACAACCTAAGTGCTCTCTCTCTCTCGCTCTCTCTCTCTCTCTCTCT